GGGATTATATATATATATATATATAACAGCGAAACCTAACTATGAATTATATATCTACATATTACTAGTCTATTTTGTCTTATGTATTATATATGATCCATGAATATGTATATGTGTGCGCATCTATAAACAACACAAGCAACAAACATGATAGGGAGGGGTGGCGTTCTCAACTCTTCTCCGCTGTTTTCCGGCTTCGGGCTGCGCTCCAGCGGCTACGCCTCGGCGCGGCGCGTCAAGGGGGTCGCGTCTCGAGCGGCCGCAGGTGAGCCGAGCCATGCCCCGGAGGCCACCCGGCCTCCGAGAGCGCGCGTGCCTTCTCGGAAGGCGGCCGTGCTTCGGAGAGGGTCCACGAAGCTCTTCGGGAGGCCGGGGGCCCTCCGAGCCTTCTGAGAAGGCCTGCCCCCCTACGCTTAAGTCGGGCCTGTCCCCCTACAGGGGGATTTTCGACGGAAAATAAAACATACCCCAAAAATGGTCAAAAAGTAATCCAAAAATAGTCTGGGGAGTATTTTTTTAAGTATTTTTTGACCTTTTTGGCGCATTTGTAGGGTAATTTTTATTTTTCGTCGAAAATCCCCCTGTAGGGGGACACGCCCGACATAACCCTATACCTTCCCCCTTGTGACGAACGAACAACACACATCTCATACCCACAGGGGGGTCGTTGGGAGGAGGAATGGCTATGGGTATGGGTGTGGGTTGTCGGACCCCAGGGAACGCTCCCGTTCGAGCGGGGACCCCCATCCGACAACACGCACCCACAGCCCTCTCCGACCCCCCCATGGGGTATGGGTGTGTGTTGTCGGTTGGTCCCCCTGGGCGCACCGCCGGCGGACACGCAGCGTCTCGAACAAAGCAAGACGGAGTTTGTCTCGCCGTTGTCGATCTCTCGGGGGCCGCCATCGGGCTCCAGGACAGTCAGCGAGAAGCTCGGGATGAGAAGCCAGCTTCAGGAAAAGGCTTACGTCGGGCATGTCCCTCTACAGGGGGAATATTCGAACATAGTCAAGAAACAGCCAGGGGACGTTTTTGGGGTATTTTTGAATTTTGTTTGAATGTTCTGTGGTCATTTTCTGTTCTGTGGGCCCCCCGCATCGGATCGAGAAAAAGCCCAAGGCATCGGACGGCCTTGTTTTTCGTCGGCGTCGAGGATCGAAGGTCCGGTGGGGCGCGTCGGGCCACGGGTGCGCTGCGATCGCCGCAGCTTGTGCGCGAGCACCATCCTGTGCCGCCCCCCCCACCTGCGGCCTTCACCGGTCCCCGAGGGGGGCCTGGGTAATGATCTACGCGGCAGAGGATCAGCATCAAGTCGAGCATGTCCCTCTGCAGGAGGAGTGTTCAAGCACAGTCAAGCACTGTCTGGGGACGACTTCTCGTGCTCCTCCGACCATTTTGAATGTTGTTCGACTTGCGCTTCTGACTCTCGTCGGACGTCCATGGACGCCTCGGGGACCACCGGGGGTGCTGGCGTCAAGTCGGGCGTGTCCCTCTACAGGAGGAAACTTAAAAATAGCGAAAGAAATAGTATGCGGCCGATTTTTCGATTATTTCTGAATATGTTTGCGTGTGCTTGTGATATTTTTACTTTTCGTCCGGAATCCCCCTGTAGGGGGACATGCCCGACCTAATGCTGGCTGCTGCGGCTGGCGTCGGAAAGATGGCGTGCGAGGTGACGGCGCTGGCCCGCTGATCATCAGACCCCCTCGGGTAATCACAAAAAACACGACGGCTGATTTTTCGCTGTTTTCAGCCTCTGGGAGCCCTTACGGGGCCTCGGGACTGTTACAAAACGACTCAGGATAAAAAACTAGCCCCAGGGAGTGGGTCGAGACTTCTGGAGGTCGACGTTGTGGAAAAATCATGACGTCGGGTGTCTGTTTTTTTTATCGCCTAGAAAAGGAGCCATACCGCTGCCTGTTCGCATGTTTTCCCATGGTCGGGCCTCCTGGGAGGCTCTGGTCGCCCCCGCTTGATTCGCCTCGGCACGCGAAGTCAGAGCGCACCCCGGAAGAGGTCTGGGGAGCAGCGGCATCGGTACCTTTTGGGTTCCGCCAGTAGAGGGCACGGAAGCAGCCTGGAGCCTTGACTTGGCGATCGAGTGTACGGAAGGGGTCCTCGGGGATGGCCTCACAGGGACAGCGTGCCCTTTGCTATCTTTCCAATCCCAACCGTGCGAGCAGCAGCAGCAGGAGGAATAAGGGGGAGGAGGTGGGCTCCCAGAGGCGCACAAGCGTACCGATCGGGCCCAGAGGGTTCTACTCCTAAAGGGGTCATTTTGGGGGTGGGGAGCGTTCTTGGCTGCCCTGGGGTGATCGGTGGGGAGGGCGGCGGAGGAGGCGGATAAGGATGAGGACTAGGAGGGCAATCAAGCAAGAACTCTGGGCTGCTGCCCGAAACACGTCGCCACAACATACCGAAAACGAAGCACCTGCTTCAATCCAGCCTCCAAGCGGGCCCAATGGAGCTCCAAGGTGGCCAGAGACGGCCCTTGACGACCCAAGAACGCTCCACCACGGCCGAAGCGGGCCCCTAAGCTCCGAAACATTCCAAGGAGGGCCCTTCGTGGGGCGGCGCGGTGCGTCAGCGTAGGCGAGGTCGGTCCATGTATTTGCTTGCGCTTCTGCCAGTGGGAATCCTTTTGTGCAGCCAGTGCCTGCATCAGAGATGGACTCTCGCAGGAAACGCAATGCAGGCCACACCGCTGACCGGCCGCACAGTCTGCTTGGCGTTGGGCCTCGGGCAGGACTGAGTTGTCTTCCGCGGGGAGGGCAGGACGTGTCCGCCTTTCTTGGCGTCAGCAGTTGGCAGGATGCCATTTTCTGACTTACCGGCCTTTCCTCGATTTGAGGCCTGTCCCCTTTGTAGCTCAAGCAGTGGCGAAGCGTCCCGGCTTGCCTATAGCCCCACCAAACAATGTTCTAAGAACCTTTTGTGGTTCCCACGAAGTGTTCTTAGAACATTTCTGGCTGGGGCTGTTTTGTTTTAGCACATCGGGTATATGTTATAAGAACTTTGTTTTTGTTATTAGAACAATATTGGGTTCTAAGAACATTTTCGTGGTATGACTATAGGAATGCATGCCGGGACGGTCGGTCCCTGCTCAAGTAGCTCGCTCCCCTCCCTTCTCTCATCTCTTCTCCCTTTTGCCCTTCCTCATGTTCGCTGGCCTGTCTTTGGACGCCAGACCCGTGGCTGGATCACCTCAAGCATGCACCTTCCAGACCCCCGACGTCATGATTTTTTCAGTACCCATAGAGGTCTGGACCCTTTCCCCGGGACCGGTTTCCCATCCCGAGTCGTTTTTGGACGGCCCCGAGGCCTGGTGAGGGCCTTCCGGGGCCGAAAATAACGGAAAACCTCCCGTAATGATTTTTTCGTTGCCGGAGGGGGTCTGGGCTTCTGTCATATATGGGTGTCTGCAGCGAGAAATCAGTCCGCCTGGCCGTGGTCTGCTCTTGGCCACATGCCGCGGGGGGGCCGTGAGCGACTGAGAGCTCGCTCTTTGGCGGGCGGCGAGGGGCTGGCTTGAAGTCGGGCCCGCCCCTCTACAGGAGGAATCTTCAAAACTAGTCAAAACATATTCAGGGGACGATCTTTTTGGCAGTTCTTGCGTGTGTTTCGAGGGCGTGTTGTTTGTCATCCAAAATCCCCCTGTAGGAGGACATACCCGACCTGAGGCTGGCTTGTGGCTGCCGGGGGGGCGCTCACCACCCACCAAACCACCCCAACCCAACCCGAAGGCCCCAATTTATCCTCGATTTCCAGTGGGGGGGGGTCGTGGAACATCGAGAAAACACGTATGGAACCCGTACCCCCCCCAACCCGAAATTCGGGTCTTCGGGCTGGGTTGGGGTGGTCTGGTGGGTAGTCAGGCGCAGTGTTCAAACAAGTCGGCGCCCGCTGCGGCTTCTGGTTTCTCCCGGTGCTCCTTGTTGGCGGAGGGGGGCCCGTCGAGGCAGCGGCGGCACCTCCTTTTTGATGGTTCTGATGTTTTGCGTCGTTCGTCCTTTGGAGGGCCTCGCGGACGCTCCTCGTCCTCCTCCTCCTCCTCCTCCTCCTCCTCCTCCTCCTCCTCCTCCTCCTCCTCCTCCTCCTCCCCCTCCTCTTTTTCCTCCTCCTCCTCGTCGCCACGGCGGGATCCGCCCTGACAAGCACGTCAGCAAGGACCCCAGGAGAGGTCTGGGGACCAATTTTGAGCGCACTCGTGTTGGGCACCCCTTTTTACCCTTTTCGTCCCTTGGAGGGCCTCCTGGACGTTTCTCCTCCTCCTCCTCCTACTCCTCCTCCTCCTCTGATTCCTCGTCCTCTTCTCCTCCTCCTCCTCCTCCTCCTCCTCCTACTCCTCCTCGTCGCCACGGCTTGATCCGCCCTGAAAAACAGGTCAGGAAGGACCCCAGCAGGGGTCCAGGGACCAATCGTGAGCGCATCCGTGTGGGGCACTCCATTTTCTGTTCTTCGTCCTTTGGAGGGCCTCGCGGATGCTCTTCCTCCTCCTCCTCCTCCTCCTCCTCCTCCTCCTCCTCCTCCTCCTCCTCCCGCCACGGCCGGGTCCGCCCGGAGGGGTCCAGGGACCGATCTTGAGACATTCGCGTAGGGTGGGAGAGCCGGCGTCGTCTCAACTGGGCCTCCTCCGACTCTCTGGGGGCAACAGCACAGGCTCCTGCCCGCGCCCATGGGGGTTGTGGCTATGGCTTCCTGCGCTGTGCCACAGTATGCCATGATGTGCTGCACCATGGTGCGCCATGCTACTCAGCCACGCGCAGAGGGGGATGGGGGGAAGGTGAGGGCTTCTTAGAAGTACCCCTGCTTCTTAGAAGGCGCGGGCCTTCTCTATGGCTGCAAGGCCGGCGCCTTCAAGAAGCAGGCTCCTTCTAAGCAGCCCTCCCCCTCCCTCCACCCCCTTGTGCGCGCCGCCAGTGTACAGTCAAGACGCTGAGCCCACGAGGAGGAGTCCGCCTTACTAAACCGCACCCCCTAAGCTCCAATCCAGAGAACGCGCCCTCTTAAGCTGGACCGCCTCAGAAAACTGGCCCCGGGGGACGATTCATAAGGGATTTGGGGTAGCCGATTTGGCTCAAGCAGTTCGCGCTTCTGCAGCCGCCGACCGCGCCGGCCGTCCAGGGCCCCCCAGTCGCGCCCGCCGCTCTGCCGCGATGTCCGCAGCTCAGGCCAGCGCCCAGGCCGCCGGCCGCGGGGACGCCCGCTCCCGCTCGCCGCCGCGCCCGTCCGCGCCCCACGAGGCGCTGAGGGGGCTGGAGGAGGAGGAGGAGGAGGTGGAGGAGGAGGAACAGGAGGAGGAGGAAGAGGAGGAGGAGGAGGAGGAGGAGGAGGAGAGGAGGAGAGGAGGAGGAGAGAGAGAGGGGAGGAGGAGGGAGGAGGTGGAGGGAGGAGAAGGAGGAGGAGGAGGAGGAGGAGGAGGAGGAGGGAGCGCATAAAGGGACGCGCCGAGTCGGGCCGACGGGAAGAACAGGGGGCAGATGGAAAAGAAGAGAATGCGCAATCTCTCACAGAACACAGTGATAACATAAATCGGGACAGCCCGAACTTATATCATCAGACCCAGGCTCGCAAGAGCCTGAGCCGCAGACACCTGGCCAGGAAGCTGACCCAGGGCAGAAGAAAGCGGGGCCGCCCAAACACAAGGCCCCGATGTTACGAGAAACGAACAAATTACACGAATTCTTTACGCTTCGCGTATCCCCACCAGCCCATCTCACAGCAGCAACTCTCGCGAAGCATGCCGACAGTCGTGTTTTTCAGGCGTGTGTCCGCTTGGCCCCGCATATCTCCCCTGTTCCTCCTTCCTCCCGCCTCCTTGTACATCCTCCTTGTGGGGGGAGCGGGAGAAGGACGAGGCGGAGGAGGAGGGAGAGAAAGCGCTCCTCGTGATTTGAGTCGTTTGGGGTTTCTCGTCCTGGTGTGAGTCGTTCGGGCCCTTCTTCCTGGTGTGAGTCGTTCGGGCTCTTCGTGGTGTGAGTCGTTCGGGCTCTTCGTCCTGGTGTGAGTCGTTCGGGCTTCTCGTGGTGTGAGTTGTTCGGGCCCCTCATCCTGGTGTGAGTCGTTCGGGCCCCTCCTCCTGGTGTGACTCGTTCGGGCTCCTCGTGGTGTGAGTCGTTCGGGGCCCGCGTCGTGGTGTGAGTCGTTCGGGCTCCTCGTGGTGTGAGTCGTTCGGGCGCCTCGTCCTGGTGTGAGTCGTTCGGGCCCCTCCTTGTGGTGTGAGTCGTTCGGGCTCTTCGTGGTGTGAGTCGTTCGGGCCCCTCGTCCTGGTGAGTCGTTGGGGCTCCTCGTGGGGCCTCTCGGGGGCCTCTTGGAGCCTCTTGGGAGTCTCCTGGGGGCCTCTTGGGGGCCTCTTGGGGGCCTCTTGGGGGCCTCGTGGGGCCTCTGGGGGCCTCTTGGGAGCCTCTTGGGGGCCTCTTGGGGGCCTCTGGGAGCCTCTTGGGGGCCTCTTGGGGGCATCTTGGAGGCCTCTTGGGAGGCTCCGGGGGGCCTCTTGGGGCCATCTTGGGGCCTCTTGCGACCTCCTCAGAAGCGCAAAGGAGCGCTGCCCCCTGAGAAAGACAAAATGAGGCCAAAACCTTCGTAAAATCAATGATTTTGCTATGAAGGAAGAGGAGCGCGGCCCCCTCAGAAGGCCAACATGGGGCCAAAACCGTAGTAAAATCAATGTTTTTTGCTTCAAAGACGGTCGGAGGCGCCAAACTGTATCCCCCCGACGGGGCCAGAATCCTTGTGAGGGTCGTCGTTTTTTGGCCCTCCCAGGAGTCAAAAAAGACCCCCCTGACTACGCCCCGGACTCCCTGTCCAGGTCCAGGGGGAGGGGGGGGGTAGGGGGAGGGGTAAACCCCTCCCCGAAGGGGAAGGGGGGTTGAGGACAGAGAGAGCTCGCTAAACCACTCACGCCCGAAGGGCTGGTGGGATCAAGTAGCTAAGCCGAGCCACTCCACCGCAGGGTCAGAGACGAGCATTCTCCGAGGGAGCGGTATAGGATGCTTGCGGCCCTCGCTGGGATGGCGGCCTGAGGCCCAATTAATTCGCCTCCACCGCCTCTGAGGATTCCCATCGAACACCTTGGGGCCCTCGCATTCGTTGTACAGCTGGGATCGGTGAGCTCGCTCCGAAAACGACCCGCAGCGCATGCAACCGACCACGTCACCCGCTCTGTAGAGCACATGGCCCCTCGAGGCCTGCGGGGGGATCGGCCCCTCGCCAGGGAGCACCTTGCTGGGAGGGACGGCGGTGGCCCTCGTGGTGGCCAGCGCCAATCTGGGGCGCTTCTCCGAGCCACGCACGGGCCCGAGGGCAACGACCGCGTCCCTAACACGGGTCTGTATGGGAGGCTCGAAATGGATCTTCCTCTTCACACAACGGGGCGTCCTAATGAAAGCTTCCGCTTCCTCGTCCTCAGGCCTCCTAGACTTGCCCACAATCCGAACCCTAAGGGGACGGGTGAGGAGGAGGAGGGGGAGGAGGAGGAGGGTCAGAGACCGAAGCGGGGGAGGAGGGTGGGGCCCCGCGAAGCACCTTCCTCCCAGGGCCATCCTCGTCCTGACCTCCAGGGCCGTCTTGGCCGTCTAAGGGCCTCTTGATGTTTTGGCGGGGGCCGAGGGGCGGGCTCCGCGGGACCTCCACAGGGCTGGACGAGGGCTCAGGAGCCTGAGGTTCCGAGGGGCGATGTACTGTACACACCTCTAAGGCCAGTCGCTTGCGTCCAGAGGTGGTCCGCGCGAAGCGCTGACAGTGCTTACGTTTCCATCCTCCGTCGAGCCGCGGCCTGAGTTCGTGCAGGCGCTGGCTCCGTGTCAGAACTGGTTGCTGTCGTTCGGGCCGACGTAGTAGCTGCCGTCGGCGTCGTGGCCTCCTTGCTGGCGGCGGCTGACGGTCCTGGCTCCCAACCAACGTCATGGAGGACCCGATCCAGCACGCCACCTGCCTCACGATGTTGAGCATGTTCGCGTGCAGGTGGACGGCCTCCGTTGGCAACGCATGCATGGTCAGCCCGCGCTTCGCCGCTATATCCGCGTAGTCCTTGCCCTTCTTGTCCAAGGTGGCCTCTCCTTTGGTCTGGTGCGAGCGGACGTAGGAGACCTCCAGCTGCGAGGACAACCCCCCGTGGTCCTGGATGATCTGCCAGAGAACCCGCCACATGTCACAGTTCTGCCTGCGCGGGTGCGTGCACCACTCTGGCCCACTCACGAGCCCTTCCACTGTGCCCAAGCAATCCGTGCGAATATGGATCGGCAGCAGCCCGTGGCGCAGGACTTGGATGACCGCGTAGAGCTCAGCACGTGGCACTGATTGCTGATGCCCTGGCAGTGGTCCGTAGGCGATCCCTCGAAGGGCTTGTCCGCTCATCATCGCGATGCCCCAGCCCGCTCGGTTGGCCCCAGGCCACGCAATGGGTGAGAGCCCTGAGCCGTCTGTGTAGATGTCTCCCGTCAGCGTGGACATGTCGCCGCCGTGAGCGAAGCTCCAGGTGTCCTCCATGCATGGCGGCGGTATGGCTGGTAGCGCATCACGAGGCATCAGGCCTCTGTTAAAGAGCATATCGTTGTGTGGTGACCGCTGGGCTGCTTGTATCATGTCCGCGTCCACTGCGGCCTCACGCTCTTGCCGAAGGAGTGGGCAGCGCCATAGACGATGGTTCGCGGTCCCCGGGCATTCCATACAGTACTGGCATATGTCGTCGGTGGCGTAGCCATGCTTGTGGAGACGAGCCTGTGTCCATTGCCCTCCAATAATTGAGGTACGTAGCGCAGCTCTGGCCTGCTCCGATAGGTTCCACTTCTTGGCCAGCTCCTTCGGCGCCAGCAGCATTTTGAGAGGCCCCATCCAGTAGCCGCATGGACGCCTGGCTTGTGGCTTACCCTCTGGTGCGTGGTCCTTCAGTCGGTTCCATTCTTCGAACTTCACGTTGACGTAGTCCCTTCTGGCTAAGGTGCGAATCCACTCGGGGCTGTCCACGGTGAGGTCGAGGCCAATGCCAGAGCACGTAGTCCATGCCGTAGCTGTCGTCGCACGCCAGCTGAGGGAGTGGAGCGCCACCAAGACGGCCCCCGCAGGGCCTGCCGCGTCTGCACGCTTCGGGGCCATACCGAGCTTCTGGCGCTGCTGGGGGAAGGCCTTGTCGAGCACGGTGTTGGGTACCTTGTCGTCCTGCACTAGCATGGCCCACGTGTGCAACGGGCCCACCATGGCAACCCTCTCGGGGTGCTCAAAGAAGCGCGGCTCCAACTGGGCCGCGAGCCAAATCGAGGTTCCAGGAGGGGTGCGGCGCCATCCCACGCGCACCATGTTGACCATCGTCTTGAGCAGGGTCTTGGTCGCACCAACGATCTGAATACCGTACTGCATGGCGGGGGCAATGCTCGGCTGTGCAACCTCTCTCCCTGTCTTGGCCAACCCGCTGAGCCTCTTGAAGCGTGGAAGCCGCTTCTTCATCTTGTTCACCCTCTTGCGTATGGTAGTGAAGCTCAACTTATGACCTCCTTTGGCCTCCATGCCAAGCACCTCGAGCGTCTTGTACGGTCTGAGGCCGTGACCGTGTACCTGCATCGTCACCTGCTGCGTTATGGTATAGTCGGAGCCAGCACTTTTGCCTTGTCCTGAGCAATCGGTAGATCCAATGCCTTGAGGACCGCTGCAAGCCGTTGTAGGATACGCACCGTATGATGTACGACGTCCTGTTGTGTGGCCACCACTTGCAGCGTGATGTCATCTGCGTAGATGTCCAGAGAGTGGTAGACTTCATCAGTGTTGACGAATGACTTCCCAAAGGTACCGAACGGCAACATCATGACCAGCTGCAGCAGGAACATTGCGACCGAGCAGCCTGGCAGGACGCCCCTGCTAACCCGGCAGGAATACGAGAAGGACGTTGTCCACTTGATGCGCCTCGGGGCATAGTGCATCGCCAGACACAGCTGCAAGATATGCGTAGGAAATCCAAGGTGTCGTGCTGCCTGCAAGACTCTCCGCCAACCGGCTCGGTCGAAACCGTTGCTGATGTCAACCAAGGTTGTGGTGGTGGCCTTCTGCTTGTCATACGCGTAGGCCTCCGCGTAGATCACGGTGCGCGCGCCCACGTCCAGCGTGCACTTGTGGGCCCCCAGCGCAAGGTAAGGCCGAGTGTTCCGAGAGATCCATTGACGAACCTGCTGCGGCCTGAGCTTCGTGTAGATGCGGTACGTCGCTGGAAGGAGAGCAATCGGTCGAAAGCCTCCTTGTGGCTTCGCTAGCAGCATGATGTGTACGTTGAGTATGGCCGTGGGCCATCGCATCCATGCTTCGGCCGCCCAGTATATGTATATCAGCATTGCAAGGGCCGCGTCAGAGACAAGGGACAGGGCTCGAGGGGGGAGTGCATCAGCTCTCAGTCCTGCGCGCCATCTGAATGTTGAGGCTGCCCTTCTGGTCTGAGCTACCGCGGGCACTGGCAAGGCCGCTGGGGGAAGATGCCTTATCGCAGCCAGTAGCTCTTCATCCTCATGGTCGGCGAGCGGCCGCGGGAGGTCAGCATCACCACGTCGTTCTCCTTCCCAGATCTTCCTCCAGCCATCCATCTGGGTGTCGGCGATCGCCTGTGGGTGCGACGTCAGGGTCTGATCCTGCTTGATCTGAGCGTGTGCCCATGGCTGCACTCTGGTGATGGAGTAGACCTGTGCTGGTCCTGTGACCATCGCGTCTCGCGCCCATGCCTTGAACTTGCTGATCCTGTGCCAGCCTGCTTGCCTGTCGAGCTGGTCCACGTACGTAATGATGATGTTGGCGAACGCCTGTAGGCAGAGTATGCGCTGCATGGGATGCTGCCTGCAGGCGAGGTGAATGATGTCTCAGGCGCCCTTGAAGTAGCTCTTGCCTTCGACTGCGTGGACGTCTTGGGCATGTCCTGGTCGGAGCAACCTGGCGAGATGTGTCCAGCGTGCTCGGCGTCGTGACGGTGACATGCGACTGACCGATATCGAGCCCGCGTTCTTCGCCAGATTTCCTTTGCCTCCAAATTGGCCCTGTGAGCCTCTGGGCCCCGAGAGCTCCGCACCCCCTGTTAGCCTTCTTGGCGGGTCCGAGACCAGGCCAGGACCAGATGTTTGAGGCGGCCTGGGGTCCTGGGAGACCTCCTGGGAAAGAGTACTCTGAAGGGGCGTGGCGACATCGTCATAGTTGGGCAACTGGTCGACTGCGGTGACGCCGAACTCGGCCAGGAAGTCGGCCACCAGGTCCTGGATTGCTTGTCCCACAGTACGTAGGTACCGAGCCTCGCTGCCCCAGTAGGGCGCGGGCCTGTCTTGGGGCCACCAATCGGCTGCCACGTGCAGGATGGACCATCTGCACGTCCACGGTAAGCGTCAGGCTCGTCAACCTGGTAGATGCCAAAAAGCTCGCTCTCGACGTGCGAGATGCACTGCTCGTGCAAGGCGTCCATGCGGCCGATAGCTTCTCCCTTGGAGATAAGGGGGGCCTCGCTGAGCGTCGTTCTCTACAATGTCGAAGTAGTCGGGCGCGACGATCGGCCCCTGCAACGGATTGTAGCCCTGCGTAGCGGGGGGCCTTTTGGGAAAGACCCTTGGGGCGGTGATGGTGAGGATCTGCATGATCTTCGGCCTGGCCTGGATGTAGGTGAGGACGGGCATGTGAGATCGCGCAGGCCACGTCGTCACCGTGGTTGGCGACCTGCATGCTACCTCCAGACCAGGCGACACGAGGAAGTAGTCAATGTTGTTGTAGTCGCCCTTCGGTGCGCGACACGTGCCCTCCTCCTTGGTGTAGAGAAGCGCGGCAGGGAGCACCTCAGGCAAGCCACGCAACAAGTAATATTGTGGGGTGACGTTCCAGTCCCCAGCAATGATGTACGGCTTGTTCTATGTACCTGAGGAACTTCGAGAGCCTCAAGTAGCGGTCATAGTTGGAGGTGAGGTAGCAGGTCTTGTGTGTGCACTCCATATAGACAGATCCCACCAGCAACCCTCCAGTAAGTCCCACATCCACATGTATGACCACTGCCCAAGCTGGTGTGATTTCATGAGAAAGAGCGTGTTCTACCGCTGCTGGCGGAAAACCGAGGGGGGTCACTACCGGTTCGAGCCCCTCCCCCCCCCCCTCCGGAAAACCGGGGGGGGTCACTATACCGGTTCGAACCCCTCCCCCCCACCCCCGGTTCATCATGAAAAGGGGGGGGGGTCACTGCCGGTTCGAACCCCCCCCCCCCTCGAACTCGAAAACCGGGGGGGGCCACTACCGGTTCGAACCCCCCTCCCCGCGAAAACCGAGGGGGGGTGCGGACAGTGGTGGGGACGGTGGTGGGTGGTGGGGACAGTGGTGAGGGGACAGCGGGACAGTGGTGGGGACAGTGGGACAGTGGTGGGGACGGTGGTGGTGGGGACAATGGTGAGGACAATGGTGGGAACAGTGGGGACAGTGGGACAGTGGTGGGGACGGTGGTGGTGGGGACAGTGGTGTGGGGACAGTGGGAATGTGGCGGAAACAGTAGGACAGTGGAGGGTACAGTGGTGGTGGGGACAGTGGTGAAGGCGGTGGCGAGGACGGCGGTGGGACAATGGGACAGAGGTGCAGTGGGGACAGTGGTGGTGGGGACAGTGGTGGGAACAGTGGGACAGCTCAGTGGGACAGCGGAGGAGTCAGTGGGACAGTGGGGACAGTGGGGATAGTCGGGCAGTGGGGGGCCGTGGAGAAAGTTGGGAGAGTGGAGCCGTGGTGGGAACAGTGGTGGGGACAGTGGGGACAGTGCGACAGTGGTGGTGGCACTGGTGGGGACAGTAGGGGCGGTGGTGGAACCAGTGGGGACAGTGGTGGTGAGGACAGTGGTGCTGGGAACAACAGTGGGGGATGTGGCGAGGACGGTGGTAGGGACCGGGAGTCGTTTGCTGGCGGTGAAGGGGGGGGGGGGTTCGAACCGGTCGTGACCCCCCCCCCTCCGGTTTTCGAGGGGGGGGGTTCGAACCGGTAGTGACCCCCCCCCCCCGGTTTTTGAGGGGGAGGGGGGGGGGGAGGGGTTAGGGGAGGGGGGGGTTTGCCGGGGGAGGGGGGGGGGGGGGGGGGGTCCCAGCCGGGGGGGGGGATTTTCGGAGGGGGGGAGGGGGAGACGCCCGGGCTCCGGAGGCAAAGGGCGGCAATTTTTCACAGTAAAGCGGCGGTGGATCACGCTCTCTCCATGAGTGACTCTGCCATCGGGTCCCTCGACGACAGTGGCAGGTAGGTGAGTACGCACGAAGACTCCTGCGCCCGCACTGGGTAGTCCCGTAGGTAGGCAAGCGGTGATGAAGGCCTGCCGTCCATTGCGACGAGCCCAAACTTGTGCTTGGGCAAGACGTTCGCCATCTAATCTGAGTTCTTGAGCGCACACGATATTGACCTCTTTCGTACCTTCCGCCAAAACGGTCCTGCAAGAATCCCGACACGAACCGTTGAAGGTAGCAACTGCAATATCTTTGCGCTTGGAGCCTCTCGGTGCTCTAGTCCCCCCCCGCCTGCTCCCATGCCGCCTGCTCGACTGACATTGCGTCAGGACGTCCTGCAGGGGGGCGAAAAGCGGCTGGCTGCAGCGGTGGAGGTACAGAGGCGGTTGGGGGTGCTGCGGTCCCAGTCGCGATGGTGCCGATGTTGGTGATCTGCTGCTCGATGGCGTACAGGAGCTGGGAGCCGTCCAAGTTCGAGGTGCCAGCTCTTGCCGCCTGCAGGACCGCCTGGAGTTGAATGATGGCTGCAGAGACGTTGGCCATCACTGGAACTCCTTCTGTGGCTGCCACTGCTGCAACTGCGGATTGGGCCTGGGCGACCTCGGCGTTGATGTTGGCCACCTCCGCCTCGAGCTTGGTGAGCTGCTGCTTGGCATCGGTGAGGTCCGTCTCCAGCTGCTCGACCTGCGCTGCCTTGGTCGCGCGCTCGGACTCCTTGGCTGCCCACGTCTCTTTCGCACTCCTGAGCAGGTCGGAGGGGTCCATCTGAGATCGCAGCACAGCTTCGGCTTTGTCATGCTCTGCCTTGGCGGCGATGACCAGGTCGTGCTCGTCTCCATAGATGCGCCGTATGGCCAGCCAAGCCCGCTTGGACTTGGTGGCTGCGGCCTGCTGTGGCGATGCATCAGCAGCAGCCTGAGGAGCAGGGGCAGCATGATCAGGACGATCGCGCCAGGGCGCCTCTGGCCCGCGCGAAGAAGTCCTCCTGCGGCTGGGCGTGCGCTTGGGGGAGGAGGCGGGCTTGCTGTCCTTGTCCCTGCCGCACGCCCAGCACGTCTCCCTGGAACCGTAGTTGTTGCGGAACCCGCATGCCTTGGTCGCCCTGCATGCCCAGGTTTCGCCATGCCTCTGCTGCATGTGCTGGGTGACAACTGGTGATATACTGATATACTGCCGTGATGCGCCTGCAGGAGCCGCCTGGCGGCTGCCTCACGTAGCGTCCGCCGCGCGCTGGCTTGGCGCCTGCGCAGGCGGCGGTGCCAGGCAGGCGACGGGTCACGCTCGCAGATGCCGCCCGCCGCCACAGGATCGCCTACGCCCGCCGTCGGGCTGCAGGCTGGGGCCAGCTGGATGCGCCCGACGCGCGCCCCCGCGCGCGTGGGAGCCCAGATGGCAGCAGCCTTGAGCCAAAATGGCTACGGAGGAGGAGGAGGAGGAGGAGGAGGGGCCGGCTGCTTCCACCAGCCGCCCCACGAGGCGCTGCAGGGGCTGAAGGCGCTGATGCTGGGCCTGGATCGGCGCCCAGATCGTAGGGAGAGGTGCGAGGCCATGCTTCGGAAAGAGCTCCCCTGGCTGCAGTTCGAGTTCTTCCCGGCCACGGACGGCAAGGCGGACACCATCTCCGACGAGGAGGTCGCGCCCACCTGGAACACCAAGCGCAACGCACTGTACGGCAACTACGAGGACGTATTCGACAAGGGCAAGAATCTGCTGTACAGCGCGAAGCAGTTCCAGGATCCAGGCGTCGTGTACAAGTTTTCGCCAGGTGAGCGCGGCTGCGCCCACTCCCACCGCCGCATGTGGGCCAGGGTCGCCGAGGCCAGCGCACCCGTGCTCATCCTGGAGGACGACGTGCAGCTCGTGTTCGAGCGGTCCTGCGGGGGCACGTCGAGCGGCAACACCTTCACCGAGAGGCTCAAGCTGGCCATGCCGGAGGCCGAGAGGAAGAGTGCGGAAGTGCTGTATTTGGGCTGGTCTGGCTTCAAGGACGGCAACTTCCTGCACACGAAGAAGACCCGGGGCAGGAAGAGCGCGGTGGTCCGCAAGGCCGAGTACGTGTGGACCACCGTGGCCTACGTGCTGTGGCCAGCCGGCGCCAGGAAGCTCCTCGAGAGGGCCACGCCCCTGGACCAGCCGGTCGACAACTTTATGGCCTGGGAGGCGCGCGAGGGGAGGCTCGCGTCGTACGTCGTGCTCGACGAGGGCGAGGGCAGCGATACGTACTCTGGCGGGATCGTCGCCCAGGTGGACTTCACTGGCGACAGCGACATCAAGAAGTCCGACGGCGGCGAGCAGGACGACGACCCCGCCGAGTTCCTCGCCGAGAGGGCGTCGGCGGCGGCGGGGGCCTGAGAGCGCCACCGCGCGCGCGGGGGCGCGCGCGCGGGTACTGCGCGAAGGGCTCTCACCGGGTCCTTGCGCTTGCTCTCTCTGGGCCGAGGTCGGGCCTGTCCCTCTCCAGGAGGAGTATTCAAAAGTAGTCTAGCAATAGTCTGGGGACGTTGCTTTTTTGGAGGGGGGCTATTTTTGAGGATGTTTGAACAGGTTTGCGCTATCTTCAATGCTTCGCCCAAAAATCCCCCCTGCAGGGGGACAGGCCCGACCGAAGCGCACCCTGCTCCTGCCCTGCCGCTGCGGGAGCGGCGGCCGCGGGGCGCGGGGAGCGCGCCGAGCTCTGCCTGTTCGTTTGGGGGGGGGACGCCTGCACTGCACGCGCGGGTCTGCGTGCGAGTCGCTGCGGGGCCAGCGTGAAGTCGGGCGTGTCCCTCCTACAGGAGGAGTGCTCAGAAATACAAAACAATTTGAAGACCAGGTTTGAATATTTGTGAATAGTTTGGTTGCATATTTTTTTAGTTCGTCCAACGTCCGCCTGTAGGGGGACATGCCCGACCTAGGGCAAGCGGGACCGCCAGCGGGCCGCCGACTGCGGGCGAGCGACTCGTGTGGCGACAAAAATACAGGCGTTGAGCTCACCCGGGGTCTCTGGCTTGTGGGCCGTCCCTTCGATTTAGTTCAAGGAGTGGCGGGGCGTCCTTGCTCGCCCGTAGGCCCGCTGTTCTAAGAACCTCTTGTGGTTTGCACGGGAGGCTCTGAGAACATGTCTGGCTGAGACTGTTTTGTGTCAGTGCGTCGGTATTGAGAACGCTGTTTTGTGATTCGGGCATTCTGTGGTTCTAAAAACATCCCGGGGTATACCTATCGAAAGGTTGGGACGGTCGGTCCCTGTTCGTAGCTAAGGCTCGCCGTGGCTATAGGAGCGCTCCTTCGTTCTCTGCTCGTGGCTGCTGACGGTATCACGCCGCCTGCAGTGCTTGTTCTGCTTTCTCGAAGGAGTGGGAGCCATCGTCCTGAGGATGCCGCCGGGATCACCCATTGTTCGTTGCAGGTTTTTACTTTTCGAGTCACCGATCCCATCTATACTTTGGGCTTTAGGCGATTTCATATCCAGCTGCCTGCGGCACATCCCGTCAACGTGCCAGCCCAGCTTTCTCGGTGGTCTGTGCGCGAGGGAGCACGGAGCTCCTAACGAGTGACGGATTGTATCTTCAGTCTTCGGGTAGCCGTAACACGTGACGCGCTTTTCTCAGGGACGTCTTGGGGGGTTCGAGGAGCAAGATGCTTTACGCCGTCACGTGGGACATATCGGTCGTCTTTGAGTTTGGGTGCGTGTTTGAAGTCAGTGAGCTCTCAGGGGCAACGGTGATGCGGCTGACGATGATGAAGATGAGGCTGATGGTGCTGAGGATGTTGATACCAGTTGTGTTTATGATGAGGACGAGGACGAGCACGGTGATTGGGATGACAAGGGATACCTGGGATGATGAGGATGAGGATGAGGATGAGGAAGATGATGCGGATACGGAATATGATGATAATGATGCTACTGGTAATGATGACGATGTTGCTGCTGATGCTGGTGATGATGATGAGGATGATGCTGATGATGATGCTGATGGTGATGATGATGATGTTGATTGTGTTGGTGGTGGTGTTGTTGTGACATGCCAATGGCAATGATGATAGCGATGCCGATGAGGATGAGTATGGTGATGATGATGCTGATGGTGATGGTGATGCTGATGCTGATGACGCTGCTGCTTCTAATGATACAGATGATTGTGAGGACGATGCTGATGACGATTATGATACAGATGACGATGATGACGATGATGGAGCTGATGATGGTGCTGGTGATGCTGATGAAGCTGATGATGCTGATGATACTGATGCTGATGATGATTCTGATGAGATGGGGGATGAGGAGGAGGAGGAGGAGGAGGAGCAGGAGGAGGAAGACGACGACGACGACGAGGATGGGAAGGAGAGGGAGGAGGAGGAGGAGGAGGAGGAGGAGGAGGAGGAGGACGAGAAGGACGAGGAGGACGAGGATGGGGTGGAGGAGGAGGAGGAGGAGGCGGAGGAGGAGGAGGAGGAGGAGGAGGAGGCGGAGGAGGAGGAGGAGGAGGAATGCCGTGACATGTGGCACCTTTCGTCTTCACTTTGTGGGGAGCCCTTATGGACCTCATTTGGGCAATTTTGGGACCCCTTTGGAGTCTCTCGGGGGCCGGTTTGGGGTCCTATTGGGGGCCTCTTTTGGCATCTTGTGGCGCAAGGCTCGAATTGTCGGTTCGTGTTTCCTCTGTTGCGCTTCTTGAGCTCGCTTTGGGGCCCTCTTGGGCCGTGGTCGGCACCCTTTTGGGCTGCCAAGGAGCCCTCTCGGGCAGTTTTGGGGCCCTACTGGGGGCCTCTTGGGTTGTCATGGAGTAGTCTTGGGGGACTCTTAAGCCGTCTGGGAGCGTCGACAGTTCAACACGGGAACCCACAACACGTGTCAACATCACATGGAAATCAATTATGGTTGCCTCTCGGGGCCGTCTTGGGCGGCCCCTTGGCTCGAGTTGTCGGGTCGTACTCCCCCTCTTGGGCCCTTCTTGGTGCTGTCTTGGGACTTGCTTGGGCTCTCTTGGGCGCCTCTTGGGCCGCCTTGGGGCCCTCGTGGGCCGTCTTGGCGCTTCCCTGGGGGCCACTTGGGCCGTCTTGGGGCAGTCTTTGGGGCCTCGTGGGCCGTCTTGGGGCAGTCTTGGGGGCCTCGTGGGCCGTGTTCAGGCGCCGGGAGTAAAAAAACGGCGACAACCCGGCTAACATTGAACAGCCAATGGGCAGTCCATGATTGTTGCCTCTCGGGGCCATCATGGGGGGGCCTCTGTTGGCCCTCTTCGGGCCTCCTGGGATCTCTTGGGGCGGGATGCTCGGATTGACGGTTCGCGTTCCCACTCTTGGGCCCTTCTCGGGGCCGTCTTGGGGCCTTCTTGGGCGCCTCTTGGGCCGTCTTGGAGCCCTCTTTGGCCATCTGGGGGCCCTCTTGGGCCGTTCAGGGCGGTCTTGGGGGTCTCGTGGATCGTTTTGGGACGTCAGAAGCTCGAATCCGCGAGAACCCCGACAACACTGCACAACCTACGGACATCAATCACTTTTGCCTCTCGACGTCCTCTGGGGAACACTCTTGGGGCTCTCTTGGGACACCTCGAAGGCCTCGTGTGCCATCTTGAAGCCATACTGGGCCGTCTTGAAGTCAAAGTGGCACTCCTTGGAGCCGTATGTTGCCATCTTGGAGGCATCTGGGCCTCCGGAGCGCGAAGCTGTTACATTTTGCGCGGAGTTGCAGCCTCGTGAAAATGGGGAGGAGGAGGAGGAGGAGGAGGAGGAGGAGGAGGAGGAGGAGGAGATGGAGGCCGGGCAGGCGGAGGAGGAGGAGGAGACAGGGCAGGAGGAGGAGGAGGAGGAGAAGGAGGTGGAGGAGGAGGAGGAGGAGGAGGAGGTGGGGCAGGAGGAGGAGGAGGGGGGGGTGCACACCGTGCGCGCCGCCAACTTCTGCGGATGTGGCCGGCCGTGGCATCCGAGAGCAGGCTGTGCCTCCCCTCCCCGCGATCCTGGGAGGGTCCAGTGCGCGACAGTTCTTCACCGATGGCGCCGCCGTCGTCGTCGTCGTCGTCGTCGTCGTCGTCGTCGTCGTCGTCGTCGTCGTCGTCGTCGTCGTCCCGTTGCTCCACCTTGCTCCTTGTCCTCCTCCCAGTCCTTCCCCCTCGCCCCCGTCCTCCTCCTGCTCCTGGCCACCTTCCTCTTCCTTAAGTTCCCGACTCGAAGTGCAAAACGTAGTTCTCTTCTTCCTCCCCTTACGCCCTCCCTCCGTCCCTTCTCCTCATCTTGCTTGTCATGTCCCTTCTGCTAGCTTTCTCCGCTCCTGTTCCTCATGCTCGTCCTCGGCGTCCTCGTCTTCGCTCTTGTCGCTCTCGTCGTCGTTCTTTCTTTTCTCGTGGTCCTCATCGTCGTCATTGTCCCCGGCTTCGCCGTCGGTCTCGAGATCGTCTCGTCGTCGTTGTCGTTCTCATCGTCCTCGTGGTCCTCGCTCGTCTTCTCCTTCTCGTCCTTTTTCTCCCAGTCGTCGCCGTCCTCCTGCTCATCCTCCTTGTCCTCGTCCGTCTATGTCCCATCTTCGCTCGCAGGCTAGCGGCTAGCACTCACAGGGTTCGGTGCGATGTTGGGCACGCGTGTGGCGGTCGTAGGGAATGGTGGTCTTCGTAGGGTCTGGCTTTCGTCGTCATCTTGCTGTCGCAAGCGCTCCGCTGTTCCCACGGGCGCGTCGTGATGCTGGCAAGCTGCCCGGGTGATCACGACCAGGTTGCGGTACCCTACCGCATCGGTACAGGCCGCTGTGGCACTCGGAGGGCACATTGGTGCGCCCAGTTGCAGCACCACTGGTGCCCACATGCGATTATGGTACACGAGGAGGAGGAGGAGGAGGAGGAGGAGGAGGAGGAGGAGGATGAGGAGGAGGAGGAGGGGCAGAAAGGAGGAGGAGGAGGAGGAGGACGACGACGGTGCGATGCTGAGAGGAGAAGGAGGTGGGATGCGTGCTGTGACGGTGTTGGCAGTCTTGTCGTGCACGCCTGCGCTCGCGAGGCGGTTGTGGGCCCTGGCAGGGTCTGGCTCCCCTCCCCTCGCCGCCGCAGTGGTCGCAGGCACGCGTAGTGCTCGCGGCCATCTTCTGTGGTGCGCACGGGCGTTGCGACCCAAGTTTGCTGAAAGTGGAGGCTGAGGTGGTTACCCTGGGTGGGATATTCACGGAGGGGTGGGGGACTAGCCTTCTGACGGAGCTTGCCCATCCCCCTCCTCCTCCTCCTCTCTTCCTCCTCCTCCTACTCCTCCTTCTCCTCCTCCTCCTCCTCCTCGTCCTCCTCCTCCCCCAACCCTCCCTCCACCCGTTCCGACAGCACGTGCCCAATTACCCCAGCGGGTCCAGGGGGGGGGCGATTATTGCCCCATCCAGGGTACGGTCAGACCGCGGTATCAGATAGAGGTCGGTTCGGGGAGGGTACCCTGATGTTCTTCGTGTTTGTTGGATGTTCTTGTGCATCCTGAGGAGGGTGCCCTTGGATGTTCTCTGTGTTTTGGCTGGCGGAGGGTCTCATGTTCTTCAGGGATGTTCTTCTGTCCTAGGTCCGATCGTACAGGTGAGCGCTGCGGTGGTGCTGGGGACACACTGCCAGGGGGGGTGGGGCGGCTTTCTCCTTTCTTATCGTTTCTCCTTCCTTACCCTCAGAACGCCCGTGACGGCGACGAGTCCAGATGATAAAGTGTTCTTGATTATCGTTGCATTGATCGGGAGCTGTATTACCCTGATTGAGGTCGCGCCGGGTTGATTTGCCCGCTTGTTTGACGTATGTTTCCCTGGATGGCATGCAGAGCGACCATCCGCTCTCCTTCGTCCACCCCCTCCTCCTGCGCCTCTTTCTGCGGCTTGGCACCGCAGTTTTTCTCCTCAAGCCGGGGACCCACGGACTGATCGTGGCCTTCTCGGTTTCACGTGCGAGCATGCCGTCGCGGTCGCTCCCGAAAGAGGACCAGCTCGCGATGGGCAGCTCGAAGTTACGCGACGGCACGCTCCGCCAGCGAG